ACGAGGTGGCCAGTGGGACGCGTGGCAGCCATTTACAGGTACTCCCTGACATCCACGACAATGCCACACTCTCCGTGCCCACTCCAGATACAAAGTAGGGGACCCTGGAGGCAGAAACGCGTGGCCACTCTACTCCTAGGCATTTATCAAAAGGGGCCTGCCCATGACAACGTCAAGCCAGGGGACAGGAACCCAGCCAGTCACTGAGCTGCCACCAGCCCTCCATTGCCATCCCTTCCCTGGTCCTAGAATTGGTCCACAGTCTTGCAGAAACACCTGGATCTCTGTCTCCTCCCTTCCTTCCCCTTCCTGCCCCTGTCTCCCTCGTTTTTGATGATCGGTCAGGGGATGGTTTTATCACTGAAGTGTCCTCGGTGGGGAAGACTTGCTCCAGGTCAGTCAGCTGGTCAGAGGCGGGGCCCGGATCAGAGCCCAGGACTTCTGACCACCCCCTGTGCTCCTTCCCTCATTCCCCACAGCCTCGAACATCCCCTAAGGAGTGGAGTGTGCCCCAAGCTACCTGCCTCGGCTTGTTCCCAAGCTAGATACTGCTGCCGCCATCTGTCTGGATCCTGGAGGAGAAGACGAGTCCACACTGGCCGGGAAGCTGCCAGCAGATGCGTTAGCAACCGGTTTGCTCCAAGTCTTTCCGTCTTAACCATGGAGGCATCCCCAGCCTTCCGAGACCCAGTCCTCGCAACCAGCTCACCCCCAAGTAGCTGGCGCCTCCTGCACGTGGAGAAAGCCCCCCAGCCTCCGAGCACTAAAGGGGGCCCCTGATACCTCTGGTTCTCCCAGCAGGTGTCTGGAAACTGTCACGCCGCAAACACACATGCTCTCCAGAAGTAAAGCCGAGGACGACCGCACACCACTCAGGAGTGGCACGGAGAACAGCAGTCACGTGACAAAGCGCAGAAGCACCAAAGGGATGAAATCACGATTTGGGGGCTGGACTAGGAACAGCCCTGGGATCTGCTGCCCTCACAGGGCCCAAGGACTTTTGTCACCCATGCCGTCCCTTCCGTCCTCAGCCTTACCAACTGCTTGGCATGGAGCGTCCTGGCCCTGGGGCCTGCCACTGTATTGCTGCCAGCTACGTGCCCTGGGGAGCCTCTTTGGCCTCCCTTTCCTCATCTGTAAAATGGGGACAATGGTCCCATACCACTGGGTTGTGGGAATAACATGAGAGAAAGTTCATGAAAATGCTTTTTCAAATATAATGAAGACTAAAATTAAGGCGTGAGAACCCCCTCCAAAATAAACTCTCCTCTTTGGAAGTGAAGGAAATGTGCAGTGAGGGCCTGGCATCTGTGGCCTCATTTAATCCTCCCAACGGCCTCATGGGAACCCTCGGTTTCAGAGAGGTTTAGTAATTTTACCATAACCCCTCAGGTCACATGTCTGGAGCCAAGATTCAGATGAGGGACTTCAAGCCCCTTCCTCTCCTGGGCTGGGGACTTTCTGACAATTTAGGGAGCAGCAACCCAGGTGAGGGGCCCTAAAATCTGGGTGCATGTCAGAGCCTTTCATGACCCGGACAGTGTTTGGGGATGCTGGTTACGACAGCCTGGGGCAGGTGTGGGGGTGCTCTGAGAACCTATCCACACTACCCAGGGCATGGCCTCCAAGGGTCCTGAGGTGGCGACTCCAAGAACATGCCATCTATGGTTGCAGGACTTCAGGCCCTGCCAGATTCTCCAGGTCTCTGCTCTGAACTGGCCCACTGGGCGGGGGCGGGGGTCAGGAAGCTTCCTTGCTGGGAGCACCTCTGCCATCCTTACCGGCAGCAGGCTGAGGGCAGGTGTGAAGCCTGGAGTTCTGACTGGGCTTGTAGTCTCCAAGCCAAGAATGGGTCCCCTGAAACCATCTGCCCAGCCCTGGGAGGCAGGTTTAGCCTGGGCATGGGTCCTACTCCACCTCTAGACCTCGCTTGGCCTCCCTGAACTCCGGAGGGTATCTGTGGTGCTCCTTTAGGAAGCTGGAGGGAGCCCAGGATGGGGGCAGAGGCACCTTCCCAGATTGTCTGCAGCAAGAGGGATCTCCCTCCTCCGCCTCCCCACCAGGGCCAGCATCTGGGGACGGTCTTCAGTCTCTGCCACGCCCCCAGCTCCAAGCCTCCTCTTTGGGTTCTTGTCATTTCACTGTGGACGGTGACCATTTTCTCTATGGTCTGTGAAGAGTGGATAGGAGCACCTTGGAGAAATCTGGCTGATCGTGTGACTGCCTGTCACATAACCTAACCGGAAACAGCAAGCTTGCTGAGCAGATGTAGATTCAAAACACATCTTCTGCTTTCTCCGCAAGCACACGGTGGCCCCATATCTTCTGAAATAGCCCCCTGCAGCCCCCTCAGCGCCCTCCTCCCGCCCACTCCTTCCCCTGCTTCCAGGTAAGGTCCTGTGTCCGGGCTGGGGTGTTGCAGGTTGCACTGTCCCAGATTAGGGAGGCTGGAGTGGGATCCAGGATGGTGTCAGGTCTAAAAGGAATAAGATGGCAAATGAAAATTGCACATGTGGGCTTGCTTTCTCAGGCTGGACAAGCAAATCAGATCCTGTAGCCAAGGGGCACCAGCTAGTCCACCACACTGCCTGTGGTCACCATGGTCATCTCTCTAAAACCCTGGAGGGCCTGTTCTCCTCTGAAAACCCTTCTGGAATACCACCGCCTTCAGGCGATGTCCACATGAAGCAGTTAGCAAGAAGCTAGGAAAATTCCTTAGCAAGTGGAATGGGGAAACTGAGACAGATAGTTGAACCAACCAAGGACACTTAGGAGCGAAAGGTTTACACATTCCAGATCATGCTGTGGTGTGCGGTGGGGGGCGCACAGTGGGACTCGGTAGTGGTGGTCCCTCTTCAGTCACATTCTTTGAAGGTGAAACTGACCAGAGAATGACCCTGACCCCTCTATAGTGCTCATTTTGATGAATTCACATATTAAAGAACACACCTGGAATGCTGATGAATATTCTGCTGAGATCCTCCCCTGAGACCTCCCCTAAAATTCCCAACTTAGGAAAACAGATCAAACCCCTTGAGCGTGCTCATGCCTTCCCTCCTTCCTTCCTCTGGCATGTGTCTTTGCTCAGGGGAGCAGTGGGCAGCGGCAGCTGCTCTAAGGCTAACCCCCTGAACCTGTCTCCAAGGGCCTGCCTTTGCCTAACTTTTCAGTGAGCCAAAAAGCAGTTAGGCCCCGGGCTCACTCCTACGGCTGTGCTCTCACCTCTTCTATGTTAAGCCCTTCCTTTGTTTCACTGTCTCCAGCTTTAAAAAATATACTCTGAAAATCACCCGGACTCATCTTGTGAAATCTTTCCTGGACAAAGTCAAGAACCCACACACTCTAGATCATGCTGGGGCAGACCCGCCTCGGTAGCTGTCCCTTCCCGGGGGCGCAAAACCCATTCTCGCTCTCGGGCCATCCCTAGCCGGGCCCAGCCTGTTTGGCAGCCTCACCAAGTACGTATCAGCCTCCAAGGACATATCACCGTTCCCACCTCTGCCTTTGCTTCAGCCCTCTGCTCCTCCCAGAGCATCTCCCTGCTCTTCTCGACGGGTGACATGCATCCTGAAGATTCAGCTCCAAGGTCGCCCCTCCTGAAAAGTCCTTCTCCCTCCACCCTACCCTCCACTCCACCCACTTACTCCAGGCCCTTGGGGGAGCCATAGGGCGGAACAGAAAACAGGTGAAGACTTTAGAGTCACATCTAGGGGTAAATACAAGCTCCACCATCATGGGGCCTTGAGCCAGCTACTTAATTTTGTGAGCCTTGGACTTGTGCCCTGTAGAATAGGGCCAGCAAGGATGTGGGGCCTTAGCAAGGGTGGGCAGGTGCCCAGTCCTTGCTGACTCCCATCTCCTGCCCACCTGATGCCCCCCAGCACCCCCACTGTCCTGTTTGCCCCAGGGAGTGCACAAGCTCCTCTGAAACAAGACCCCAGCCCGTGGCACCTTTGGACCTCTGCCCTGTTTTTACTGTCAACACCACTGACATCAAATGGGTGGGTTTTTCCCACACCAACAACCAATTCTCCAACTCTCCGGACACAATTCAATTCCGATCTGACGCTATCTACCTGGAGCCAGCATCAGACCCCATAGGTTTAAGGGCTCAGTCCCACAAGACTGCCCACACTTAGGACACAGTCTCAAATATGGGGTACCCAGACTTCTATCCGACTTGGCTACAAAGTTAAGGGTTCCCACCCACCTTCTGTTTCAATAGTCTGCTGGAATGGCTTACAGAACTCAGGAAAATACTTAGAGTACGGCTGATTTCTTATGAAGGATACTTTGCCACCCGCCTACAGGGCATGTGACAGTGAATGAGACAGTGGGTGTGAAGGGCGCAGCCTGAGAGAGGGCTGGATACGGTGGGCGGCTTGGCCCCTAATTTAGACTGGAAGGTCTGTGGGCTCGCGGGAGGGCCTGGTGGCGTGGTCCTGAGGGCTGTGTGCAGCAGCCCAGCTGGCCCTGCCTCAGAGAGGATGACAAGGAGAAACTTCCTGGTGCTGGCCTGGCACAGAAACCTGACGTGAGCAAAAGCTGGGTGGCTGGGGCCAGCTCGGGCTCTGGGCTCCGGGGCAGGAGGGGGTCCCTGAGGCGGCACAGGAGGGGGGATAAGCAAGGGGATCAGGGAGGAGTGGGGGGACTGCAATCAGTGGGAGTGCTCTGCGGGACTCTGGGGGCGGGGGGCAGGACAGGGGCCAGAGGGGTAGGGCTGAGACGATGGGGTCCGGCTGCAAGGAGGGGGAGGGGCGCGCTGCGGCGCCTCATTTCTGCACCTGTGAAATGGGCAAATGGGCGCGGGGAGCGGAGAGAAGATGAGTTTGCAAATCCGGAAGCGCGAGCTTCGGCGTCGGGGGCGGGGCGAGGCCGGGCCGGAGGCTGCGCGGGGGCGGGGCCTGGGGCGGGGCCGGGAGGCGGGGCGGGGCGGGGCCGGGCGCGGGGGCGGAGCCCGGCCTGCGGCCCGGCGGAGCCCGGAGTCGCAGTGGCCGCGGCGGCCGGGGAGGCACGGCGGCGTCGGCGCGGTGGCGACAGTAAGTGCCGGAGGTCGGGTGCGGGCCTGGCCACCGACCAGCTCTTTAGGGTCCCGGTCGCCCCTGGGCTCCCGCGCTTGGCGCCCGCCCCCCACCCCACGGGCCCTTCTGGAGGCTACTTCACGGGAGCTCGGGATTCCACCGGGCCCTCCTCTGCACACCCCCCGTTGTGTACCCCGCAGCGTCCCTCCGCTTCGTCCCCGCTCTCTGCTGCCCCACTCCCACTGTCCTCTCTGGGTCTCATCTTCTTTCTCTTCCAGATTCTCTCCCCTCCTCCTCGTGCATTTCCTGAAACTGGACCTCACCGTCTGGATGTGGGGGGCCTGGGAGTGGACAGCTCAGCCCAAAATACCCACAAGGTGTTTGACTCTAGGGCCAAATTGGGGAGCCTGGGCCTGGGAGTGTCCACAACCCCGAGGCCAGTTCTTCCTTGACCTCAGGGTGGCGCCTTGTGTGGCCCAGCAATGCTTTCCCAATAGGTTAGCTTCCGAGCCCCCACCCCACTTCACAAAGGAGGACAATGAGGCACAGAGGGGAGTTTGACTCAGCCAAAGTCAGAAACCTGCTCGGAATCAGCACCCAGCGCTATGGTGGTCTGCAGGGGCTCCAGGCCCCACAAGTTGTTGCTGCTTGGTTTTTTGTTTTTTTTTAATCCTCACCCAAGGACATTTTTGCATTCATCTTCAGATAGAGCCGGAAGGAGAGAGGGAAAAAGAGAGAGAAACATGGATGTGAGAGAGACACATTGACTGGCTGCCACCCACACGACTCCAACCGGGGCTGGGGACAAGCTGCACCGGGGGTACCTGCCCTTAGTGGAACCGAACCTGGAACTCTCTGGTCCACGGGCCAACGCTCTAACCGCTGAGCCAAACCGGCCAGGGCAGTTGTTGCTTCTTTGTGTGGGGGCTGCCCCTTGCCCCCTGTCACCCAGTAAGGGAGCAGGGCCCAGTGTGGCCAGCCCCTGTGGGTGCTTGAGAGACACACCAGCCAGTCAGCTCTTCCTGGGGATGCTGGGGCTCTTCCTCACCTTCCCTTTTCTTTTCAATCTAAAAGCCAGCAGCTAGCTTTTATAAAGAGTAATGAGACTTTGCTCACTCCAGTGCTCTGGCCTGTGACCCGCATTAGAGAAAATTCCTGGCTCCTTCAGAATCTTGGTCAAGGCTGAATGATCCTGGACAAATAGATACCTGGAGCTGAGAATTGGCCCTGCCAAGTGTGAGCCCAAATACCCCTGCTGTTGGCCCCTGCACCCGCCCTTGTAGATGGAGCATCTGGAAAGAACCACTTGCCCTTTGTCTACTGTCCTACATGAATCAATTTTTAAACACTAATTGAGAAATTGTGTGTGTGTGTGTGAGCACTGTCTGGTTAGTTAGTGCCGATGCCCTGTGAATCAAGGCTGAGAAAAGGCTCTGCTCAACCAGGGGAGTTTAAAATAGACCGCCTGCTGGCTTCAGGGTACATGCCACCTCAGGTGACAATATCCTGGCTGCACAGACTACATTCATTCAGCAAACATTGAAGAAGGTGCCCTGTAGTGCTGCCTTCCCCGCAGCTCAAAGCTCTCTTGCCAGAGGCCTTCCTGAAGGAGGCCTGTCTGCATCTGGCGCCTGCAGACCCAGGTTCACATTGCCAGACAGCCTGCTCCCAGGGAGGCCCGGGAGGCCCGTGGACCTCAGACTGTTTGGCTGTGTAACCTCTTGCCATTCGGTAGCTGTGTGACCTTCGGCAAATACTCGACGTTTCTGAGCCCTACTCTTCATCTGTTAAATGGGTCTTAGAGTAGTACCTGCCATATTATTAGGCTGTTGTCAGGCTCAAGTGCTAGGCACAGGCCTTAGCATGCAGGACGACTGGATTTAATTTTAACTATTGGGAGTTCTTGATGTTTAAATGTGGGACAAATCAAGTGTCTTTAAGGCCACATTCTTTGCATCTGAAAAAAAAAAAGGAGGCAATAAAACCTGTCCTGCCTAATTCCAAGAAATATTGTGAGGCTCTCTTGAAATAATAGGGCATTCTTATCTCACCAGGAAAGAAAGGCCCCAATCTGCCTGGCTTGATGCTCTGAGTTAAGGCTCAGCTTCCCATGTGAGCCGAGACACATTTATTTATTGATTAATTGGGGAGGGAGGAAGCTACTGCAGAAGGGACTAGAGTATCCCATCGTCAGCTTTGTGGGAGTATTTTCCATTTATCAAGCTATTGCCACATTCCGAGTGCTATATAGAGCATAGAAGCTACCTTGTAGTCAAATTCAGCAGCCAGCCAGCCAGGTGACAAGCCCATGATGGCAGGGAACATGCTGACCTTTGTGTAACACCCCTACCATGGGCCAGGCATTGCTGGTCAGTTGGAGTTACATAACCATTGTAAAAAAGCTGAGGCTTTTGTTAGAAAACAAAACCAGCCCTGGCCAGTTTGGCTCAGCGGTTAGAGCGTTGGCCTGCAGACCAGCGAGTCTAATTAAGGGCATGTACCTCATTTGCAGTTTTTTGTTTTTTTGTTTTTTTAATGTTTTTTTTTAAATCCTCACCTGAGGACATTTTTAATATTTTGTTCAGATAGAGTGAGAGGGAGAGAGAGAGAGAGAGAGAGAGAAACATCGACGTGAAAGCGACACATCGAGTGGTTGCCACCCACACGACCCAACCAGGGCTGGGGACAAACTGCAACCAAGGTACGTGCCCTTAGCGGGAACCGAACCCGGGTCTCTCCGGACCGCAGGCCGACGCTCTAACCGCTGAGCCAAACTGGCCAGGGCTCATTTGCAGTTTGTCCCCAGCCCCAGTTGGGGTTGTGTGGGTGGCGACCAGTCGATGTGTCTCTCTCACATCGATGTTTCTCTCTCTCTCGCTCCCCACCTCTCTCCCTCCCACTCTATTTGAAGATAGTGGAAAAAAAAAAAACCAAAAACAAGATTTGCTGATGGGGAAATTGAGGCTCAAAAGCGTGGTAACTTGCCCGAGGCGATGTAGGTCACTGTTACTGGCAACCTAGAACCTTCCCTTTGTCTCAGGAGCTACCACAGATAAGGAGTGGCTGTCTCCTGGATGTGATGACTAGAGGAGGGCCCAGACAGGCGTTTTAAACCCAGGCTTGGCCATTTACCTGGCCTGTGACCATCCACTCTTTGGACCTCTGTTTCCCCACAAATGAAGTGAGGGAGTGGACTATTATGTGTCGCCAACTGGCTTCTGGAGGCTCTAGACACCACGGGCTTTTTTTTTGTTTGTTTAATTTTTTTTCTTTATTGATTTTAGAGGAGAGGAAATGAGAGGGAGAGAGAGATAGAAACATCGATGAGAGAGAGCATCGATTGGCCGCCGCCTGCATGCCCCCACTGGGGATCAGGCCCACAACCTGGGCATGTGCCCTGACCAGGAATCGAACCAGCGACTTCCTGGTTCATAGGTCGACGTTCAACCACTGAGCCACATCGGCTGGATCACCATGGGCTTTTAAAAGAATATTGTTCAATTTGAATGACTTTATTTTTATTTGTAGTTTTATTTTTGAACCGGTAGTACATTTACACACTTCAAAATCCAAAAGGCACAAAAGATGTGAGGTGAAGTCCCCTCCTTCCCAGTCCCCACCCTTCCTCCACAAAGGCAGCACTGAAGATATACAGATGTGTGTATCGTCTCCCTACCCACCCTAACCTTGCTTTTCTGCACAAATAGTAGCTTATTCTACACCTCTCCTGCTCCTTACTTTTCTCACATAACGTTGAAAAGAGTTAAGAGAGCATTCTTTGTCCGTCAAGGGTCCTAGTACCTTCTTAGGGCTGCATAGAAAGCAAATGCTTGAGACCAGCTTGCCTTTCTGGATTGATTGCCACAAGCCCCACTATGCCACATTGCCTTAGTCCCCGCCAGCCACACACTTGTTTGCTACCTGTGTGCCCTGCCTGGGGTGGGGGCTGACCCCTGAGGTCACTTACAGTCTGACATCTTATCTTTCTCCCTGATCCTTAAATCTGAAACTCTCTAACCACGCTTTGGTGACTCTGGACCCCAGGATGGACACATGGTCAGCTTTGTAGGATGGGTGAGTCCCCCGCTTCAGCTTCTGATCACCTGCCCTATCTCTGTCTCTCTGTTTCAACAGTGGCCTTGATCTCCGAGGACAACGTTCATCAGAGTTCAAACTCCACCTATAGAACCGCAAGCAGCTCTCTCTCTGCTGATCAGGAAGCGCTGCTTGAGAAGCTGCTGGACCGCTCACCACCCAGCCTGCCGAGGCCCAAGGACCGCTTCAATGGTGCCTACATCATCTTCTTCAGCCTGGGCATTGGCGGCCTTCTGCCATGGAACTTCTTTGTCACTGCCAAGGAGTACTGGATATTCAAACTCCGCAACTGCTCCAGCCCAGCCCCAGGGGAAGAGCCTGAGGACTCGGACATCCTGGTAAGGGCATGTTGTTCCTCCTGGGAGGCGGGGGGTGCATGTGGCCTGGATGGGGCAAAGGGCAACTTTACCTGGGTGCACCACACCAGGAAGGTTCGTGGCTTGCTGAGGATATACGAACTAGGGAACTACATGGAATATAGTAGAAAGAATTCAATTCAGTCCTAAGACATGCTTTGTGTTGTGCATGAGGCCTTATGCTTCACCTGACAGGAGAAGATGGAAATGGATAAGACATAGCCCTAGCCTTCAGATGACACAAACGATGATTCTCTGTAGTATGGTAAACCCAAGAATCCAGGGTCCATGCCTCTAGAGGTTTGATCTGGATCTACTGGCAGGTTCAGCTGTGAGTTGTAGAAAATTCCAAAAGAGCAGTGGCTAAACAAGATGGAAGATACTTTTTCTCTCATGTTCAAGTCTAGACGGGGCAGTCCAACCCTTGTACGATGTTCCATGTTGTCAGGAACCTAGTTGTTTCACCATGTGTAGCTTCTGTGTGCAAGGTCACTTCACAGTGCAAGATGGCTGTTGTAGCTCCAGCCATTACATCAGATAGAAAGAGGAGGAGAGGCATAAGGAAACTCCTGGAAGTAATGCACATGGTGTTTGCTTACATTGTATTAGTCATGTGACCACATGAGTTGCAAAGTTGGGAAATGTAGTCTTTTCCCCAGAGAACCATGTACCTGCTAAAGCGAGTGGTTGTATAGTTATGGAAGACGGGGAGGGGGGTGGAGGATGAAGACCTAGGGATAAATAATCTTGTCACTGAGAGAGAATGCTGTGAATCAGAGCAGGTGGATTAGCAGAATAGGGAGAATACATTCCAGGTGGAAGAAAAAGCCTGGGCAAAGGCAGGGTGGGAGAAAGTTCAGGTGTGTACGAGGAACAGTAAAGCATCTAAGTTTGCTGTATGTGAGATGCATGAAAGAGAAAAATAAGGCTTCAGCTCATTGCCGGGGCGTGAAGTCGTTGCCTGGGCCTTGAATGTCAATGTGAGGAGTCTAAATTCTGTTTGGTTGGCAGTGGCACCAAGCCCTGTCCCGCCACCTAGGGCTGCTCACTTTGTAGGGTGACTTTTCCCTTGGGAGGAGTGTTAAAGAAAAAATTATTCTGCCAATTGAGGCTTTACTCATGACTATTGCAACAAAGGAGAGAGATCAGGCTCAACTCCAACTACTCAAGGACAAGTGGGGATTTATAGCCAAGGAGCAGAGTGAGGGGGGCGGTCAGTGGATGGAAAATTACTAAGAGGGGCCACAAGGCTAGGGAGGGTTCTTGCTAAAAGCAGGCCGAGGACATATACACCAAGGTATGGGGTGAGGAACTTGATCAAATATCAAGGGAGATCAGATATCAAGAGTGGGGAATTCTCAGTAAACTGACTTAGCAGGAGTCTTGCTAAGACTGGCTGGGCAGCCCTGGCCGGTTAGAGCGTCGGCCTGTGGTCCAGAGAGACCTGGGTTCGGTTCCCGCTAAGGGCAGGCACCCCGGTTGCAGTTTGTCCCCGGCCCTGGTTGGGTTGTGCGCGTGGCAGCCACTCGATGTGTCCCTTTCACGTCGATGTTTCTCTCTCTCTCTACCTCCCACTCTATCTGAACAACAACAACAAAAAATGGAAAAAAAACGACTGGCTGGGCAAGCAGAAGGCAGGATGGGGGTGGGGTGGAGGCAAGGGTGCTCTCTTGAAAGCTCTTGGATGGGGAAGTGGGGACCTCTCTGAAAGCATGCCAGACTGGGGGGTTGCTAGCTGCTCCTCCCTTCCAGGGGTGCCCCAGGAGATAAGAAGAAGTTACCCTAACAGACCTTAGTCATACCCTCCAACTGGCCAGGAGGTGGCTTACCTCCCCTTCCTGAAAGCACCTTTGAACTCCCCAACCTAACCCCAGGAACTTCCCTCAGTTTGGAGGATTGAATGGGACACATCGACTGAGGTCTCCCTGTTTCAAGGATTCTGCCAGGGCTTCACATCAAAATCACCCAGGGAGCTTTCAAAAAATCCTAATATGGGCCCCACTGCAGAATTATGATTGAATTAGTTCCCTTAATTCCGACACCTTATGAGGGCCTGTTTCTATTAAGCGAGGAATTCATAGCTGCCTCCAGGCCAGAGCAGTGCAGAGAAACCCGTTTCCACAGCTGCAGAGGTGTCGTGGGAACAGTGCAGTTAGAGCCTCCTACCCAGGTGTGGTCCTTGGACCAGGCACGCCTGGAGCTTGTTAGTGACGCAGTCTCGGGCCCCATCCCAGGCCGCTGAGACAGGAGCTGCAGCCTGACAGGCCCCCAGGTGGCTGACGGCCACCTAGGGTTGGAGAAGCACCGGAGTGCATGGCTTCTGGGAGCAGCCCGCATGGTTCCACTCTGCCTCGGGTAGTGCTTAGCTCTGGCCCCCTGTGCTGCCTCATCTTCCTGGTATGTAACAGGAAGATAGTATAGCAGCGACTCCTTAGGGTTGCTGTGCGGATTAAGTAAATTACTCTGCACATGAAGCACTTAGAACGGGCTGGCACCATTGCTGTGAGTGCTGTCGAAACATTATTATCGTTATTATCATTCGGGGGATGCAGCCCTGGTGTATTTCCAGATGCCTGGCTCACCCGGCTGCTTTATGATCCACTTTTATTTACCAGTGACTCAAGCGTCCCAGCTTTCTGCTGGCCTCAGTAAATCACCCAGCCCACTTGGGCTTCCTCCACAAGGTCCCTGTCTGGCTGGGCGGGTACCAGCCTAGGGTGGCCCCTAGAACCAGATTATGTGTGCACCTGCCCTGTCCGTCACCCGTGTCTCCACCTCAGCCACTGGAAGCAGGATGTCCCCGAGCAGAAGAGGGTGTGCAAGCACGTCTCTGGGAGCCGGCCCAGCCTGTGCACTGTGGACGTCCGCTGCCCAGCACACGTCTGCCGTGAGCTGTTTTCACTGCAAGGCGATCCCTTCCCAGCTGCAGGCACTTAGCATTCCAGGCCCTGCTACGATGCTTTATTGCCTCTTTCCAAGTGCTGGCAGGTGCAAATGTAGTACCTGCGGCTGCCCAGAGCTCCTGGCTCTTGGCATCGGAGATGAGAGACCTGTCACCCCTCGATTCATGGCCGGGTTTGGGAAGCAAGCATGCTGGGGCGTTTCTGCATTTTGCAGGCCATTTTTCTTTGCCTAATTCCCCATTCCTGCCACCCACCTCCCCAATTCTTTTCTCCTCTCTCCCTGATTTCCCTGTGAGAGGTGGCTGGTCTGCTGTATCACCTGAGGGCCACTTTGGGGGAAGAAGGGGGAGAGTCAGAGTCAAATGGGTTTGTCTCCAGCCGCCACCTGCAACTCAGTTGGCTGTGGGTCTGGATGTTGTTTCTTTCCGTACTTTCCTTTTAATATTCCCAGGGATGGATGCCATTGGCTGGCCAGTTTGACTCGGTAGAAATGTTTGCACAGACCCCCTCTTCCCAAATTGTGTCACTGTCAGGGTCACCTGCCATCCCAGGCTCATTTCCTCTGACTGGAATCGTTTGGGGGATGCTTTAGAAAGCATCCTGTTCACTGAGCCCCTTTGTCTCTTCTCTGGGGTAAGGACTTTGAATGAACCCACCACAGGCCTGTGGACTCAGAGCCAAACAAATTACCGCATAAATGAGGAAGAATTGATATGAGAAATGGTGCAGAGGAGCTAGGACAGCCTTTATCTTCTGAGCCCCACTCTGCGTCCACCGTGCTGGGGGCATTTAACACATTGTCTGTAAGTAACCTGTTTCCGACAAGAGGCCAGAGCTCGGAGAGGTTTAGTGACCCGCCAGTCACACAGCGAGGAAGGCTGGAGAGAACCTCACGGAGAGTTTGCATGGATAGATGATTATAAAACCGGTCACGCTCAGAGAGTGATGTGGAGGGGACTGTCCTGGAGACAAGGGCCCACACCTCGCCCCACACGCTGACTCTGCCAAACACTCTTTCTTCGTATGGAGAGCCTGCCCTTGGTCTACCACCCTGGAAACCCAGTGCCTTGGCTCTACCCCTGGATTCTGGACCCAGCTTCCAAGCTGTCAGCGTCTCTGAGCCCTTCCCGCCACCACCCCCGCCCCCAGGTCTGGAGGCCATCCCTGAGCCTACCGTCCCCTTGCCCTCTCCTGGCCTCGTGGAGGCCTGTGTGGGCTGCCCCTGGCCCAAGGGCTGTAAGCTGGAAAGCCGCCTCTGTGCCCAGAGAGCAAAGGGACTTCCTGGCCATTTCCTGCCACAAGGCCTCCACGGCCCCTCCCAACATGTTCTTCTTCTGTACGTTGGCCTGTCCAGGGCTCCTCTCTTAGGACGCTGCGAGACATGGCCAGGTCATGGGTGGGACTCACAGCCGCACGTGGTGTCAGCAGGGCCAGAACCCAGGCTTGGCAATCAACTGCCGTCCCATCCATCCCATGACCAGAGGGGCCTCAGAGGCCTAGTCCCAGGGCAGGGGCAGATGCCTCTCTTACCCCTGGGAACTTCACTGCTGCTACTCTCTGAGCTAGGGGCTCCCCTCTGGATTCCCGGGCCCACTGTACTTCCCCATTAGGGTCTCAGCACACAGCTCATGGCACTGAGCACTGACTGGGGGGCACTGCTCTCAGAGCTTTGGCAACATGATTGTATGAACCCGCAGGAGCCCGTGAGCAGGAACTGTGCTTACCTGTGACATCAGTTCCTGTCCACGGTGAGCACTGCTAGCTCTCTGGGGCTGCGAGTCCGGCGTTCTCATTGCGTCCTGCACCACCGCGTCAGTTACTGCAGGGCTGGGAGGAGAGCCCCAGCCAAGGAGAGGGTGACGCCGGCCGGTGTGGCTCGGGTTGAGCGTCGGCCCTGCACCAAGAGGTCACTGGTTCGATTCCCGGTCAGAGCACACGCCCAGGTTGTGGGCCAGATCCCCAGTGGGGGGCATGCAGGAGGCGGCCAGTCAGTGTTCTCTCTCATTGATGTTTCTGTCTCTCTCCCTCTCCCTTTTTCTCTCTCTAAAATCAATAAAGAAGAGATATTTTTAAAAATTT